TGTGCGTCTACCAGTGGTTCAGCATCCAATCAATTAAGTAGTCCATCAACTTTTAGTTTTGATAGCTATGGAAATATATTTATCACTGATCAAGGCAACAGTCGAGTGCAAAAGTTTCTTATAACAACTACTACTTATAGTAAGTATAATAGAACCTTCTTTTCTCATTATCGAACAAGTAAGAGAAAATATTCTAATATTGTATTTTTTCATTGCATTTTCAAAATTCTCATTTCAACAAATAGGCCATATTATGCTGCTTAGATAGCTGTAGTATCAATAATATGAATATTAATTCGACGGATAAAGATTACAAAGTGTCTAAAATATCGAGTTTTAAAGCCATACTATCCATTGAAGCTACTCACGACTTGTAATCTTGCGCATATCTGAGTAAGTGAGTGGACATCTCTGTATATATGCATCGATTGAAGCCTGTCTCACTACACATTTCTTCTAAGTGAACAATCTGTGTCCGAATATAACGCAAAACAACAATGTTATTTAATACTCTAAACAATTACCAGTCGCATTTTTACTATTTGTTACAAGAATATAGATAAGTGGATTTCATTAAATTCGAACTATAGAATATAACCGACGTTTAGAACTCGAGGTCTAAATTTGGTTGTGTAAATCATTGAAAGTTGAGCTGCTTTACTTCAGTGATTCATCGGAAGAATTCTGAGACAAGTCGACGTTCTATGTAGAGGTAAAACTAGTAATAGTTATAGAAAAAATATTTGGCCTATGAAACCGTCTTCAGATAGTACTTGATACCACAAGATAGCCGAAAACAGCAGAATATTCTTCTTATTCACTGAAATTGGATTGATTCATTTAAATGAGAATGATTTGATAATATATTCTAACAGAAGTGAATGAGATATCTAGTCAATTTCCACTTTTTTCTTAGATGTGACTCTTAATCAACCAAATTTGTGCCCATCAACAACATGGTATACAAATGCAATTACATTTGCTAATAGTAGTACGGCTGGAACAGGTGTATATGGTGTTTTTGTTAGTATTAATAATACTGTCTACGTAGCTAATCAACAAACTAATAAGGTTGTAATATGGTTCGAAGGAAGTATTAATCCAGATAAAATTCTTTCTGGTACTCTGAGTACACCAGATGATCTTTTCGTTACTCCTCTAGGTGATATATATGTTGATAATGGTGTAAGTAATAGTCGAGTTGATAAATTTTCATTCAACTCAAGTATAAGTACTGTTGTAATGTCAGTTCCAAATGTATGTACTGGCATTTTTGTTGATATTAGTAATAATCTTTATTGTGCAGCTTATACTTCTCATCAAGTTGTTAAGAAATGGCTGAATGATAGTGTGCCCACGTCAACTATTGTTGCTGGCACAGGTACAGCTGGATCAACAGCAACTACACTTAATACGCCAACTGGGATTTTTGTCGATGCTGAAATTAATTTATATGTTGCAGATTCTCAGAACAATAGAATACAAATGTTTCCTCTTGGACAATTTACTGCAATAACTTTAGCAGGAGCTAGTGCACCAGGAACTATTACACTCAATACTCCAAATGGTGTTACACTAGATGGCAATGGATATCTTTTTATTGCAGATTGTTATAATCATCGAATAATTGGATCAGGACCATATGGTTTCCGATGTTTATTTGGATGTACAACTACTGCTGGTTCTTCATCAAGTCAATTAAATGTACCACGAACTTTTGGTTTCGATAGTTATGGAAATCTTTTTGTTTCTGATGGAGATAATAATCGAGTGCAAAAGTTTATATTAGCATCAAATTCATGTAGTAAGTTATTTTTAGTTTATGTTTTCAATGATATAAATTTATCTCTCTTAGGTCTTTCTTATAATCAACCAACATTTTGCTCAAATGCTTTATGGTATTCTAATGCATCAACTTTTGCATCAAGTAGTACAATTGGCTCATTCCCATATGGTATTTTTATTAATGGAATTAATACTGTATATGTACCTAATCGAGTTAGTAACACTATTTTATTATGGCCTCAAGGTAGTAATACATCAACAACTAATACTTATAGTAATTTGAGCAATCCATATAGTCTTTTTATGTCTATGGCTGGTGATATCTATATTGATAATGGTTATTCATATGGTCGAGTCGATAAATACATATTTAATACATCAAATCGCGTTACAGTTATGAATGTTAATGGAAGTTGTTATGGTTTATTTATTGATATTAGTAATAATCTTTATTGTTCACTTAAAAATCATCATCAAGTTGTTAAACTCTTACTTAATAATGGTACAACCATACCAACAATTACGGCCGGTAATGGTTCTACTGGATCACTATCAAATATGCTTAATTCTCCTCAAGGAATCTATGTTGATAGTAATTTAAACTTATATATTGCAGATTGTGCTAACAATCGTATTCAATTAGTTCAAACCGGGCAGTTAAATGGAGTGACAATCGTTGGTAATGGATCTTCAACAAATTTTATACTTAACTATCCAACTGGAATTGTTCTTGATGCTTATGGTTATTTATTTATTGTTGATAGTTATAATCATCGTATTGTTGCTTCAGGTTCTACTGGTTTTCGATGTATAGTGGGATGTTCGGGAGGTGGTTCATCTGCGTCTCAATTATCTTTTCCACAAAGTATGGCTTTTGATAGCTATGGAAATATATATGTTACTGATCGAAATAATAGTCGAGTGCAACAATTCACTCTTGAAACTAACAATTGCAGTAAGTTTCCTTGTATATAACGGAATAGTATGGAGTTGTAATTGATAATTAGTTTTTTGCGACTATCATTTGAAAAATTAACAACAATCAAATGAAATGTTGTTTGAATTATTTGATCTCATATGAATATTTTTAGTATAACTTCCCTCTAATTTAACTGAATAAAGCACAATTGTTTTATATTTCAGCAATACCGACTACCACCACCACTACTACTACGAGCAGCACCAGTAGTACCACAACTAGCACTACAACTACTACCACGAGTAAGACTACAAGCAGTAGTAGTACAACAAGTAGTACTACCACCACCACTAGTAGCACTACTACTACAACCAGTACCACGAATAGCACTACGACTAGCAGTACTACTACGAGCAGTAGCACTACCACTACCACTACCACAAGTAGCACTACTACTACTACCACCACCAGCAGTACAACTACAAGTAGTAGCAGTACCACAAGTACCACTACTACTACTCCTACTACCACAAGTACTATAACAAGTAGCAGTAGTACATCAAGTAGCACTACTACTACCACCAGCAGTAGTACTACAAGTATTATCCAAACGACTGCTGCCGAAAGTATGACCCAAACTCTGGAAGGTATATTGATTAGAGTCATTTTGGTTGAATTTTAAGTAATCATTATTCTTAGATGTCTTTATTTCAACAGTAAAAGACTCAACAATAATGTCAAATACAACATCCATAACAAGTTCTCAAACATTAAATATCAATGAAAGTAATAATATGAATAATATAAGAAATAATTTATCGACTTTTCTTTTCTAAATTAGCTTGTTATTCACCAACGGTTACATTGATTCCTGGACAATCATCTATATCATCTCCAATGTCGTATCGACGTAGCCAAGATTTTTTTATTAGTTCAATGATTGAATTTAATTGTGATGGTTCACTTTCGACAACTAAAAAATGGACAGTAAAGAATTGTACTTCAACTAGTTGTTCATTTGAAATTGTATTAAATGAAAAAGTTATGACAACATATAGTGAACTTTATATTCCAGCAAGAACTCTTGATTATAGTGTTTATCAACTAACATTAACTGTGACAATGATTGATTCACCGAATTTAAAATCGTCATCTTCAGTTTATGTGAGAATAACGGCAACAGGTATAACAGCAAATCTTGTTCAATTAGGAACTTCTATGATAACACGTGGTGATGAACAAGATATTTTACTTGATCCTGGAACATTTTCAGTTGATCCTGACGAAGATATATTTGATGCAACTGTAAGTAATATCTGTAGGTGAATAATCAAATAGGTTTTTTTTAATTTTTAATTATAGAAATGGAAATATACGTATTACTGTCGAATTTATGAATTATATAATTTTCCAAATATTCAAGGAATATTATTATCAATTGATGATTCAACGATTGATCCTTATAATCCATCATGTTTGTCATATCGATCAGGTAAAATTGTTAATGATAATTTAATTTTATTAAAGCTCTCATCTTTATTGAAAAGGAAATGGAACAGGATTAATATTCGGAAATTTAACTTCATCACCTAATTCATCTCTAACCGTTCTCGGTGGTTCACTTCAATTAAATCAAATGTATCAATTTATGGTTTATATGGAAAATCGTAAGAATGCTTCTATTCAAGCAACAGGTTATGTACTTGTTACAATTGAAGTTACTCATCCACAATTGATTGCTGTTGGGTAAATTATTCACGAGTTTTTAATCGAATTATCCCAATGAAAAATATTTGTTTTAGTTGTGTAATATCAACAATGTGTGTTCCAGATCTTGAATTTCAACTTCTTAATCCAACAACACAAGTTGCTCTATTTACTCTTTGTATTGGAACTTGTACAAACCTTCAAAGTATTAAATGGAATATTTATCAAGGATCAGACAATTCAACATCTTCAAATTCTACTCAATGGATTTTATTTAATCAAACAAGTTCATATGAAAATATTTGGTTTTTTGGTAAAAATCTTGTTTTTTTAATTATCAGACATATTTCTTAATTATTTTAGGTACAAATACAAGTAATTTCACAGCAACAGATCAATTATTTCTTAATAATCTTCAAATAAGTCTTTGGCGTTTTGAAGTTGTTTATACATTTCTATCCGCAATAAGTACAAGTGCATTGAATTTTATTATTAATGAACCGCCTGCAAATGGTTCGTGTTCAATCAATCCTCTTGGTGGTACTATAACTACTTTATTCACTATTGAGTGTCCAAATTGGTATGATGTAGATGGAATACAAGATTATTCATTATATAGTATGTTTTGTTTTCACTACCAACTGACTTTTGTACTTCGTTATTTTAGCATGGACAACAGACATAGCACAACGAACAATGATTGCATTTTCATCAGAATATAATTTTCAAGTTCGATTACCAGCTGGTGATAATGAAACTTCATTACTCAATCTTGTTGTTTATGTTCGAGACCTTGCGGGTTCTATTACACAAGTGAATATATCTTCTGTTAATATTATTGCAGATTTTGAAATAATTAATGATTTAATTGATAAAATAACAAATTCATCGAGTACAATAACAAATAATCCAATTGTTCGATTACTTTCAAGTGGAAATCAAAATGTTGTTGGACAAATGATCATTTCATTATCACAAGAACTCAATCAAATGAACAGTGAAAATTTAGATAAAGCTATATCAAGTAAATATTCATATTCAATTTATCAGAATTAATTAAAATAATTTTGTTTTAGATGGAATATCCGCTGTAAACATTTCAGTATCATCATTAGGAAGTCAAAGATTACAACAAGTAATTGAATTTAATAGTTTTTTTTTCAATTTAATGTCTATTTAAAATAGATTTCAATACCATTGAATGAATCAGCTTTAACTGACTATAATATAGAATTAAATTCTCTAGCAAATGTTCGAGATTATCTATTACCATTTATAACTAATCTCCTCATAACAACATCAAATAGTATTATATTGCAATCAACATCATTAGCTCAATTAACTCAAGCAACAAATCAGTTAACACGAAATACTTTAGTAAAAATTATAAAGAATATTTCTATTGA